TCGCTAATCCGATGTATGCAACGATCTGCCGAAACCGCGAGCGATTTATCGCGCCGCATTTCTCTCGCCGAGAATGTGAAGCTTCCGCAAAAAAAAAATTACATAAAGATCGTTGACGCGAGACGGATGCTTCGCGGCTTAGTAATACCTCGCCGTTACGTAAGACTTTTCTGCGCCGAGCAATATTTAAATGTCGTCGAAAGATCGCGATACGCGAATCTGCGCAATAAGCAAGAACCGATCGGTCGGACGCGATCGATTCCTTGACATCACCCATCTTTCGATGACACATGATACGCGCGGCCACGGCTGACCTTTGAGACTGTCACTGTCGGACGCGTAGTCAAGTTTGTCATCGCACGTATGGAAAACCGGACGAAAAAAAAGCGCGACGAGCAGACAGTTGTAATGTTTCACGCTTATTTCGCGTTCGTTAATTTGACATTCCAATGTATGTCCCGGTTTTTCATTGAGAATTCCAACACGCAACGATCATCGTTCGGCTCGCCGGGACAAACTTTGTCATCGCACAGACGGGTTTCATTCTCGACGGTCATTCAGCGTTCGTGCGACCTTTAACGGCCGAGTTCATTCGGACGCGGAATCGCTGCGCGGTATTTTAGGCCGTCTCGTAATTCCGTCTCTCTTCCCCCCCCCCCTTTTCTCTCTCTCTCTCTCTCTCTCTCTCTCTCTATATATATATATATATATATATATGTATGTGTACGCGCATGCCGTCGCGGTTCTCCTCACGTGTCTGTTTAATTCTGACGTTAATCGGTATGTATAATCGCGAATGCGAATTCACATAGCGCACGCAATTATCTCACGTATTGGATTTATCGTATTGACTCACGCTATCTGAATTTACGATACCTCTCAGGTATGCGTAAACTTTGAAACACGAGGAATAATTATATCGCTCTCATGCGAAACGCGAAATTATGCAATTTCACAAGTCGAGGACTCGTGCCGTAGTTTATTGTTCCCGCGCACACGCGATACAATATCAGTCAGATCCAACTGAAATACCGACGACCAAGTAAAACCGCGTGAGGTACATACTCCGCGTCGTAATTAATTACAAATCCGTATTTACGGATCGTTATTCCGCTTAAGTCAACATTTCTTGTTGCATGAAATAAGTATAAGCGAGGACGTCAAATAATCCAAGATTCATGATACTATGATTGTCTCTCGAGTGTATAATTTTTCAAATGACGACGAGTCCTCCCGCTGTACCTTGAAGTTCGACGGAATTTGCAGAATTAATAAAGCCCAAAATTCCCGCTCGGGGTAGCATTCGCGTTCTTTAAACGACGGCGTGACGCACGCACGAATTGTCGGCGTCTGCATCGTATCTCATTAACCTGTCTGCTAAATTAGGCGAGGTGTGAAAAAGGACCCCGTGAACGCGAATAATGAGATTTTTCGGGAGAGAGGGACGAGAAATATACGGTTTTCGGTGCGAGCACGGCGGGTACCGTAACGCCGTGAAAGATGGCTATCGCGGTCGCGACCGGCGGGGAGATGCGGAGGGCGACGGTTGGATTCGGCACGACAGAGTGTAAATAAAGTTCACGATCGACGCGGACGCGATGGTAGGCCGGCGGAGTGCTCTAACGGAGCAACGTCACGGCACGTTAACGTTCCACCAATGCGGAGGAGCTATCTTTCCGCGGTCATTTTCCATACTCCGTCGGCCAGAGATCGCAGATCCGCGAGAGTTACCGTCGTTTCCGCGCGGCACGGTTCTGTCGAATAATCGATAGATCGCGAAAGACCCCGAAAATCATCAACGCGACGTGAAATACGATCGTTTCTTCAATTTTCCCGCCGTTCCTGCGACTCCTTCGATCGGAGGCGATCAGTTCGCGAGGACTTGGCGCGTCGAAAATCGACGGATGACTTTTTCGAAAAATCACCCGCCTTTTCCGGCGAAATATCAATTCCGAGTTGAAATTTCCGCATAATCGACTTTAAGTTTATAAAATTACACTCCATCGTGTAATTTAACATTCCAAAATTGTTCACGATTCAGCGAAAATCGGTTTGCGACCCCGCTAATGGGTCGTGACCCATACTTTGAGAGTCTCTGCTTTCGAGAAATTCGCGAGAGACCACCTGTCTCGAGGGTAACGTCATCGGCTGGGTCGGCTGGGTATTTGCGACTTAATTTATCACGGCCCCGGCGAATACGAATAATAAATGCGGAATGAAAAGCTCGCAAAACGCGGCGCGCCGAGGAAACGAAGAGGCTCCGAAATGCAGTAAGTCGCGTGTCCGCGGCAGAGAATGCGACATTTATAGGCGAACCGCGCGCCGTCCAACCACGGGGGAATCTCGTATCGAGGATATTGCCGGCGCGAAATTTTTCAGCGCGTCCGTCCGTCCGGCCGCTCCTCTCTTCGGTTCGGTTATACCGGCCATAACGTGCGCGCGTCTTTCCTCGTGCACCAACGCTCGTAAAAATCGCGCATTGTGTTTGGGTGCAAGCGGAAAGATGCTCGTCTATGTCGGCATTGTTTTCCGTCTTAGAATATCGCGCGCGCGCGCGCGGCCCGCCACGACTATTCTTTCTTTATCTGGAAATATCGGCCGCGATCTACCGCGTTCGACCCGCTGGCTTCTTCGCTCCTCGTGAGAGACAGCGAGGGTGGACGCACCTGCCTCACCCCGACAATTAAAACCGCTGTCGAAAGCTCGTGCACTCTAATTTTGCCGATTCGACGCGCGTCACCCTCCGGATAACTGCTCGAAATACAGCAGTCTCGCATTTGACCTCGTAGGTGCGAGTTTTCAGTTTCGATTTGATTCAATCGATTAACAATCGTCGACCCTCTTACACGCTGACTTCCAAATACGATGAAACGGTCACACGTGCGAAGATTAAAATCAATGACACGTGAGGTTCGTCGGGCAACTTTTTGCGGGGCAGCGATCTTGCACCGCCACGATGGTTATTCATACGAGATAGATAAAGAGAAAGAGAGAGAAAGAGAGAGAGAGGGATCCGTTCGTAATGACTCTCGACTACCAGCGGATTAATTACCTAGCTACGCTTCTCTAAAGCAAGCCGGGAAAAAACAACGTTTCATCGAACAACTCGCGGGGATAATGCTGAACGGCGCAACCTTGAACGCGAACATATCTTTCCCCTTCTTTTTCTCTTGCTTCTTTTTTTTTTTTCGGCGATTCCGCAGAGCCGAGACGGTAGTTAGCCTAGATGAGTAAAAATTTAGTACGGTGCAAAAAGCGGCGGCTTTCCCACGTTTTAACGCCCGTAAATCATGGCGATAATCAGGCGCGCATTCCCATAACGCGGATGGTCGCAATAACCGCCTCGGAGGTTGATCACCCGGGGAATTATTATAGGTAAACAACTATTTTCACCTCGGCGAGAGATGCTACCGGCGCAGCGATAAAAAAATCAAGACCGCGCGCAATGAAAATTCTCCGGCGCATTCCGTAACTCCGCACGCACGCACGCGATACTGCCCGCACGTGTGTGTATGCGCGCGTGCGTGATGCGTGCGTCGGTGCGCGGGACGCACATGAACGGACTGCTGTAACGAGCGCGGCTACATAACTAAACGCGAACGGCCGATGGATCGGCGCTCGTGTTTCGGAATTTACAACCGCCGCCGAACGATCGACGGCCTTGACGGCGAATCGCCGGGAAAACGCCGTCTGGATTTTCCGTCGATCCTTTTCATCGTACTTCCCGTCCCGCATCCCCCTATTCATTGCACACTTCGCTACCTCACCCTTCCGTCCCTTCGCTCCTCCTCCCTGTTTACTATGCAATTAATCAAACCTGAACCGCACGACTTAAAAGTCTAAGATAGTCCATCATCGACAAGCGCGCCTGTCCGGCGCGTCGAGAGAGGCTCCGTTCGGAGCTCGTCTCGGCCGAGCGATGTGTGCGAGAGTAGCAGGCGGTGCTCCGAAGCGTAAGACCGCAACTACATTCTATCCGTGTGATACCACGATCTGTGACGTCTATCTGGAAGTAAGTCTAATGGCCTTCGATGATTGACGTATCCGATAGAAATTAGTCGGCCGCGTGAGAATGTGTCCCGGGCGCGCGATATTTCGAAAGCAGGCCGACGTGTCACGCGAGACAGTCGAAAAGCTAATCGGACCCGCGGCGACGCAGCCACCACCTGTGTGTGTGTACGCGTGCCCGCGCACACGCAACGAAAGGTACGGAATGGAAATAGGGCGTGCAAGCCGCTCGCCGTGTCAACGATGGGCGACATGCGACACGTGCGTGTGTGCGAACGTGTTTCGCGAGACACCCCGTGATTCCCCCGTGTGTGTCACTCGGACTCGAGTCACCCTGACGCATCGATCCACTTGTGTGTGTGTGTGTGTGTGACACGTTACTTTCTCTCGAACGACGCGTCGACGCATCGACAATCACCTGAATTACGACGCTGAATTATAACCTAAGTCAACTGACTGACCTGAGTTAGCCTGCCTTCGGGGAGCGTGTTACCAGCGCTATTCCTTCGTTCTGTTCTTGCTTTCCGTCTAATTGGCGACAAAGATAGAATGACACGATAATTCCCGATGGTTCCTCGAACGCAGTCTTAACCAACCGGACCGGGTGAACGGTTGCAATTTCGAGGTTAATTACTCGAGACTCCCGACGAATTCTCTTCGCCGGGAAGACGACGACAGTCTCCGCGCGTCGACGCGCGCACCGACCACCTGTCCGCCCGAATTCGGCCTCCGATTCGTGCCCGACGTCGCCAGCTCCCAAATTCAAACTGTTTCAAGCGGATCGGCGCGAAAATGGCGGCGTTAATACACACACGTCGCGAGCGCGCCAAAACTAAGACACCGCGAAGTCGAACCCGGAAGAGAATCGCTCACTCTCTCTCTCTCTCTCTCTTTCTCTTTCATTCTCCCGCGCGCAGTTTCGCTGCGGTAATACGCGCGATTTCCTAGTCTCGCCACGTTCGATCGCCGGGAAATGCAAAATCGATACTCACCGATAGATCCGCTGGCGTTGCTCCGTTTCCCACGACACCGGCGAGCTGCCTCTCTCTCTCTCTCTCTCTTTCTGCCCGTCTTTCTCTCCTTCTATCTCCCTCTTCCTCTCGATCCGGCACAATCGAACCCGGGCTGGCACGAGAGATCACTGCACCGTCCGCCGAAGAACGGTATATAATAACGCACTGCAGTCGCGCGATCTCTAGAACGCGGGGGAACGAACGGACGTCATGCACTGTGTCACGATCACTGTCGATCGCCGCGACGACGCGGCGCGACCTCCTCCTGGGGGGACCGGGCGTCCTCTAGTGGTAGTGTCGCACCACGTCGGAGCGCGCGCGACCGACGTAACACGCCGCGACGACGTTCGGCATCTGCGACCACCTGCTGCCGAACTCCGGCCGCCGTGTTTACATCGCACGACCCAGAGGGCGGGAGGGGAGGCGACGCGAAGAGCGGTGCGTGAATGCGCGATGACGCGTGGGCGCTGCCGTGTCGTGCTTCTCTCTCTCTCTCTCTCTCTCTCTTTCTTGCTTCCTGCCGTTGCTTGTCGCTCGGCGTCTCGCGGGCGAGTGCGAGAGCCGCGCGAGCTTAGCGCACCTTCACCGCGAAATCGGGACCTCGAGGAGGAGGCGAGCGCGCCGCGGCGGCTCTCGCTCTCCCACCCGCGCCACTCGTTTACCTCCGTCGGAGAACGGTACACCTTTTTCCATTTCGCTCTTCTCTTCTATCCACCCCTCGGGGGCCCGTCTTCCGCGCCGCGGCTTTTTAAAGGGGACGCAAGGACGGCGCTCTTCCGCGGGAAGCGGCTCTCTGATAAGCGCGCCCTGATCGCGAGATGAATCGGAGATATCGCGCGTCACCCGACCGGCGAGACACTCTGGCTTGAATTTCAATCTCGATTCCAATTAATTTGGCCCAATGTCTGACCAAACTTCGAATCAAATGTCAAAGTGCCTGAATGAGTTTTTCAAATACGAAAAGGGTGAAAGAATTTCTGAATGTGTTACCTTTACCGTTAGTAACATAATATTTTCGCTCTCTTCTTTGGGGCTTCTTGTAATATTTTAGTAATAATAATAATAATAATATCAGTCGTCCAATAAATAATCGCGCGTCTGCAACTCCAAGTTTAAATAAAACCTGTTCAAGTTCAATCGAAAATATACTTGATATTCGAATTTACAATACTTTGCCATCCCTTGCAAGCAATTTCGTTCTCACCAAAAAGTTTCGAGATTTCGAAATTCTGCCAATGTCGTCGTATGTCGCAATAAATAATAGCACGACCGAATAAATCGGGTCCATTGAAATTGTCATCAGGCATCGTGTAGCCGGTTAGTTCGCAATAAGCTCGGAAATCTAATAATCGTACGAGAGGATGGAGCGCAACGTGCGCTTCGCGCACAGAGGGACCGCCTGCGTCAGGTTTCGGTGGACGATCACGAAATTACGGTGCCTCAGGCCGGCGCTCGATCGCCTCGTTTTTTCGTCGGTGCACTTAGCCGCGCGTGAGGCCCAATCGCGATCGGTCGACCAGCAACGAGAAACGATTCGGACGGACCACCGCGGCACCGAGAAACAGACAGCCGGTTTATTAGGGCCGGTACATTAATATAAGGATAAAAGGAACACGAAGCGAGATACGATATCGCCGGCGCACAGCACGGTAATGCCCGATGCGCTCGGTTACAAAACTCGGGTGAATTCGAAAAAAAAAAGAAAAAAAGAAACGCGAAAAATAAACCACGCGCAGAAATTATCTGATTATCCTCTACAAATATTCGCTACTCACATTTCACACGCTCGAGCAAAAATCTGCCGCGTTGAATCGACAGGCACGTGTAGACAGCAGCAGTAGTCTATAAAATTCGAATTTGATTAATTCGACTTGATCGGATTTTGTATACGCTTGGTCGGAAAAATATTTAAATCGTACGAGACATCTTGTGATTAATCGAGAATTCACGCGTAATGTACTGCCATAGCGAGACCGCGTCATCTAGCATCGTCGACCTGAAATCGCTTGAATCGACCTTGAATCGCTGAGCTAAATCGTAATTGGTTACACTTCGTAATTATCCTCGCGGTAATCCTCGTTCCTCACTAATCCTATCGAATGCGTGAAAGCGCATATTGCAGGTGTTGCGTGCCTTACTATCATGTGGAATCACACGAGGAAAATTGTCACGTTGATCGGACCGCACCTTTACGATGATGATAATCGACGGGCATTAGAAAAAGCGCTTTAACACGTGTAAAAGTGAAAAAAAAGTTTCTAGTAAAAATATTAATCTGACAAATAGATGATTGCAGCTATTCGGTGCAGCTGAATTTCGCAATATGCGGTGGAAATGAAAAATATCCAATATCGCGATTTAATTGCGAAGATTTGTCTATTTATCTGTAAGACTGAAAATGAGGTTACGGGAGATATTTATTAAACAGCATACCATATTTTGAGGTACACCATGTAGGTACACTAAACAACTTACAATTCATTTGCACCGATATCAGTGTTTCTAATGCTATATACAAATATCTATATAAATTAAGATTACTTATGAGGTGGCCATGCCCACTGATTTGCTGGTGCCTCCTGCATCAATTTCTCCCACGGTTTCCATTCTAACATCTTCTGTGCCAACGATATCTCGCTTTTGACTTGTAATACGAGTTCTTCAACCTGTCCGCAGTCTATTTTTTCCTCTACAGTTCGTATATCGGTATTCTATAAGATATCATACTTTATCATAAACTGCAGTTTTATTAACTTAATTAATATCATTAGCTCGCGGAATAATAATCGTTGCTAAAATAACACACATTACTCTTACTTTCTTCACAATATCCAATCTGTCTTTGGCAATTTTCTCTGTTACTTCTCGATAAACGTATTCCTTAGGAAAGTTCGTTAACAACACCAGGAGTTTATTATACAGCGGAATTAAATCCTCGTAAGGATATTTGTTCACAGCCAGCCCTGTCAATCGTGTAGACTGAAAGCAAAGAAACGTTGGCGTGAAAAAAATGAGTTCTGAAATTTCGCAACTAGAGGTTATTTGGATCAAGATCAAGATATTCAGACGCAATTATTAATTAAGACGATTAAAGCTCTAATTAGGTAAATTCCTAATGAAATTTCTACGTAAATTACCTTCTTGAGTACACCTGCCATCGTTAGGAATATTACCTAACACTTTGTGTTCTATACAACTCGTTCTCTCTCCGCTCCGTTATTCTAACCTCAAAATTCCCAGTTCTTACACAAGGACAAGAAATGTCCAACCGATAAAGAAGCTTGCTATCATTAGTTCCAAAATTCCCGTTATGAGCCGCCAGTTTCCAGTAATAAATTGAGATCGTAACAAAGATAAAATATCAGTATCACAACTTACAATCATCTCAATATTGTATAAACGGACCTACAATGAAATATCTTTTATATTTTTTAAAAATACATTTTGTAATACCTATCTATGCTCATTGAACAATACTGTTTGTTCGTTTGTTTTTACTCTTGTTGATATCATAGTTCGTACGGATAAAATGGACATTTCTTATTTTAAATACTGGATCGGGTCGACATCTCTCTTTTACTGTACAATAAAATAAGAGAATAATTTAAAGATAGAGTGTTTATTTATATTTTCCGCGTATAAAGAATGTTTATCGGTTAGATTTCGCAACACGCTCTAACTCGTCCTTTTTCTTGATCGCGTACGAATTTGATGAACCTTTAGCGGCATTGATAAGTTCATCGGCTAAGCACTCCCCAATTGTTTTGATGTTACGGAACGCGGCTTCCCTCGCGCCAGTGCACAACAACCAAATAGCTTGGTTAACACGACGCAATGGGGACACGTCTACAGCTTGCCTTCTTACTGTACCAGCGCGACCAATACGTGTAGAATCTTCCCTTGGACCGGAGTTGATGATGGCTGTGACGAGAACCTGAAGCACAAACATTCCAATTAAATGTGATATTAATTACACTATAGTTAGATTATAGTTAAATTTGCAAAACTATAAATTTCTTAGAAGAATCAAAGAAAATTTTAGCACAATAAATCTTCAAATGGATAGATTTAAATTTCCTGATACACTATTGTTCATATATTTATGAACCTGAATATAAAATAGATTTCAAGTAAATTCACCTGTAAAGGGTTCTCGCCAGTGAGAAGGTGGATGATCTCAAAAGCATGCTTCACAATTCGCACAGCCATTAGTTTCTTTCCATTATTTCTGCCGTGCATCATGAGAGAATTTGTAAGACGTTCCACAATAGGGCACTGGGCTTTTCGGAAGCGTTTAGCTGCATAACGTCCAGCTGAATGTGGAAGGTATTTCGCATTCTTCTCCTTGACGGCGATGTAATCTTGCAAGGACATATCATTCACTTGCACATCGTCACAGTTCCAGCGTCCGAACAGCTTGATCTCAGGTAGTTCGGCCGTCATGGTAACTGGTATTGTAGTGGTGGTTGTTACCACCATATCTTCAAATCCTTCTTTATCCTCCATTGTTTATCTGGAAAACAAAAGGAATCTCTTAGTACTACTTACAACTTGAAACACAAAATATTATTACAAACTACTTCAAGCAGTTCCTTTGTTTATATCATTAAAAGTTGTGCTAATGTTGCCTTTCTGCTAATTTTCCAAGATATATTAATTAATTAATTACAATATAAGTATCAAGTCATAGAGAAATGACCATAAAGATCACATAATTTAGTATAAATTGCTATCACATAGTGTTACATTTAAGTAACACAGTTCTAAATTGTTCTGAACAATATAGATTAACAGAAGATGAACTCATTAATGAAGAATGAAGAACGAGATATAAGTAAATCGTACGATGATCTTCCTATTAACAAACATCGCTGGGAAAACACCATTTATATTATTAAAAGCATCTACACTCTTTGTTTGAATCTAGACATCGGAATCGTGCTGGAACGCAGTTAGCGAAAAATCCGATATCTCACGATGCGTTTCCGTGCCGTAACAAGTGAATCGCAAGCGGAGCGAGAGACTCGAGTTGAATTTTCCGAGGAAATGTTTTAATGAATATACACGGAGCACAACGAAGCTGGCAAGACATGTGGCCACGCGGTCACATGTACCGCGCTCGGGCGTGGGTTAATCGCGTAAAATCCCGCTCATATTTCGCACCTGTACGATCACTGATCAGCTCTCCGATGTTACCAATTGCTCAATTCGTCCAATTCACGCTACTCCGGCACAAAATTACTTTGATGTAACAATATTTTCTACTCTACGACTTACGTTCACGTCTACTTCTTACATGCGTGAGCAGGAAAAGATCATGACACCGCCAACGCCATCTGCCTATGATTATCCGTTTCCGAGTCAACTTTACGACTGTGACAAAGAAACACGTTGTGAACTGTTAAAATTATTCTCCTATCCTTTGGTATTTATAAATGTAAATAATGTTAATCATGCTACTCATCAGATGAGCTGTATGTAAGAAATTCTAATAACAAGAATGAGTATTTAGATGGTACGATTACTGATTTGACGAACGTTACAGCATCGATAAAGTGTTACTATAGGTCGGAAACTCTATGAAAATTTTGTGACATCTGGCGTCTAGATTCTTATTGGCTTTAAATTATTTCTTTACCGAAAATTCCGTGATTGCTAGTATTTTGTTCCAATGAATTTATACTATGTCGATTATACGATATCCGCTATAATCAGATTTGGTATAATATCGAATATTGTACAATTTTTAATGTAATGATAATAAACTTGTGTCACAATCAATTATCGATGAAATATTGATAAATAAGTCGATGAACGGCTATCGGTTCATAACTTGTCATTGCAAAATCGTCGATTTTTTAGATATTAGATCAATTTCGGGCTTTTCGTGCATATTTACAATACTTTTATGATTCTTAAAGAAATGATGCCTTGTGATTGGTCGCTTCACTATGCGTCGCGTGCAGCGGTACTTCGAAAATCTCAACCGTAGCTTTCTTCAAGTCAGTTATGGAACGGATCATGGCGGTTGGGGTGCGAAAAGCCGTTCCGTATTCGGGCCTGAGCATAAAATTTATAGCAATATTTCCTGGAGAAACGTAAACGTATGTGGGAATCGCAAGTCAATGCATAATGATTGACGTAAATGTAAGTGATATGATGGATACGGCGTCGGTTTGCCTCTATCGGAGACGGTTATAACTGACTTTATACTCCGACTCTTTCGCGATTTTGCTGAAGACGAATTCCGTGCACGAATTATTGTCGAGAGTGCTAAGAGTAAGTTTTTCGCACACGTCGTGACAAAATATCGTCGAAAATCTGGCGAGAATGAATCTTTCGTGAAACGGGTTATCAGAAATATCGAATGAAATTCGCACTTTTGTTCCCAATGTCTCGATCACTGCGGCAGCCACACAGCAAAAAGTGTCAACATGTGTGAGTGTGTTAACATTTTATTTATGTACTTTTTAACACATTCCCCGTGTTAAAGTAATGAAAACTTTCAATGGACCCCATTTAACGCAAAGTTTTTGGTTGTGCAATCAGTCACTAGGAGTAGTAACCGCCATATGTTTCTTGGAATTTCGGCCCGCCTATGAGCTTCGCGCGCGATGATTGCTGAGAGTGTCGAAAGTGAGTTTCGTGCGTCGGCCGTAGTATATCGTCAAATAGCCAAAAGTGAATATCTCACGGAACAGGTTATTGGAAACGCTGAAAGTAAATTTCCTTCGTTCGTCGTGGCGTAATATTATCGAAAAGTCGCCAAGAATGAATTTCTCGTGGAACTGGCTATTAGGAAAGTTGAGTAAAGTTCGCGTACTTGCTTCGAGCATCTCGATCACTGCGTCAGCCAATCAGTCATGAGACAGATCGCAGTACGACAGTTCGGATTCCAAGAACTGCTACATGTTTCTCGGAATTTCGGCTCGTCTATGAATTTCGCGCGCGATAATCGCCGAAAGTGTCGAAAGTAAGTTTCGTGTGTCGATCGAAGTATATCGTGAAATAGTCGAAAGTGAATATCTCGCGGAACGGGTTATCGGAAGTGTCGAGAGTAAATTTCGCGTGTGTTGTGTGTAAGATATCGTTATAATGAAGTGCTACGTAAAGTGTGTGCTGCGCAAAGGCTGGATAAAGTGAATCTCTTCGACGGTCGTCAGGTCGTTAACCGCGTTCTGTCAACTGATGAGGGAAAATCGGTGAGTATTGAAATAAGATCTGTCTTAGATCTATCTGTAGAGCGCTTCTAACTTTCACGTTTCGAATCGCATTTGCAATAAAATCTCTTGTTTCATCAAGTTAGATTAGTTTCGAGATATTAGCTTCACATATCGAGATAAGATATATAGTTCGATAATCTTTAGTTGTATAATTAATAGTAGTTGAAGAGTTAGATGCACGCAGAATTAATTTTATAAGTTATTATCTACATACTTGGGTATATTTTTCTTTTAATTATTATCATGATTGGAAAACGCCGTTATTGTTGATCTTTAGTTGTATAATGAATAGTACTTGGAGAGTTAGATACACGCAGAATTAATTTTATAAGTTATTATCTGCATACTTGGGTATATATATTTTTTAATTATTATCATGATTGGGAAACGCTGTTATCGTTATTTTTTTCACTAACAATTTGGTAACGATCTTAAAAAAAGTTTTTATTTAAACCTCGGTGAAAAAGTAATGATTCTTCTTGAAATTGTAATGATTATTCTTGAATAACGATAACAGTAGAGAGTTACTTTATTCAATATATATACATATATGTGTGTGTGTGTGTGTGTCCGAATTGTTATTCTTAACATTTATATATCAACATAGGTGATCAGTAATATCAATGTTCTGTAATTATCTTCGTACCTTCTGAACATGTCGGTAATAGAGCTTTTGACAGTCCTTGATAGGTGTCGCTAGCGACACGTTTTTCGCACTTTCGTGACAAGCGAGATGCAAGAGGCAGTGGTGCTTGCAAATCTTCGAAAATAATCTATATCTCAATACTATTATTAATGAGCCTTTATTAATCGTACACTTAATAACAAGTCGCACAGAACGATAAATGTAAGAAAGTGCCAGATGTCGAAGACGTCGCGGGAAGTTTCTCAAAAAATATCTAAGCAACAAGAAGTCGCGAATGTTTACATTTGTTACCGTTGACGCCTTTATTGCGTCAATAGATCAAGTTGCGCGAATTTAAGTAGGAAAGAACTTTAAAGAGGAAGAAATTTGAATCGGGCAGGTCAAGCCCCCGATAATCCGGTCGGGTCGGCGTAAAACCACCGCCGCCGGTATTTGGCGGTGGCACACATCCGAAACAATCACCGCCGTAATAATCTGTTATTCGTAGGCAGGCTTGTCGTCGGCTCGCAAGGGCCCATGCAGAAAGCTGGTGCGGAGGGTCACGGTGCGAGTGAATAGGGTTGAAATGGTGCTCCGGCGAGCGAGCGAGCGAGCACATGGGGTCGGAACAGGCAGCGGGAAGGGCGGCAGTAGGTGGCGTCGGGAGGGGATGGAGGATAGAGGGTGAGAGAGAGTTTCAGGGCTTGAGGGGACGGCCGGGCGAGCAACCGTACGGTATGAGAAATTTACGACCCGCCGTCCGGATTGCTAACCCATCTCGGGTCCCACTTTATTACTTTAAGTAAGATCCGACGTAGAGGCAGTAAACTCATATATGACCAAATCGCCGACGAGCTTCGACGCGCGTAAATATCTAATGGCTCACGTTCGTCGGTAGCGCGTGTATCACATCGTCGCGGACCGAACGTGTGCATCTCTCGTGTGTGAGCGCGACGGCAGCGACGGCTGTGAACTCGCTTGGCGAAAACCATCGTCGTCCATAAACATCCTTGATTCGTTTTCGAAAACGGCTTCCGGCTATTCTCACCGCCGCCGCCGTTATTGTATTGCACGTGTGTACGTAAAAGCCGTCGTGTCGTAGCCGCTGTTTGCCGAAATAATCCCTGAAACGAGCCTCGCGAATGCCGCTCTTGGAAGCGTAGTGTTTGCGAAGCGGCGCAAATGGCAAAACGCGTGTTTCTAATGAACGAAGGTTCATCGTCGGAAATGTTATTAAATGCTCGGCAAATAACAGTAATGAGAGATTGCTGATTACTTATTAAACTGTGCGGGTACCAACGACGAAAATGTCGATTTTCTTATGTGAGGAAAAAATAGGTCGACATGAGAGAAGAAGGGTCTTTAAGAATAGAACGTTCCGAAAAAAGGACTCGAGTAAGCCGCCTATCTCAATCATCTCTGTTCACTCGTTCCGAGAACATTATTACTCATTGCTCTGCTATGTTATTTCAAACAACACCTAAGTAGACCCGCGCGGCGAGACTCGGCCGGCAAACTCGTACCGCGTTAAATCTTATGGAAATGAATTCGCCGATGTAAATCGTTTCGTTATAAAACGCATTTGTCCGATCCCTAACTCCCATTTATAACGAGGGTCCTCTCTGTCTCCGCTAATTGGAAACTCGGCTTCTGCGGCCGCCCGACGACGGGCGTCTTTATCGTCGAAAAAGTAGTCGCTATAAAGGCACGCGGAACGCGAAAAAATTGCACGGCGACTGGACGCATGGACGGGCGTTGTGCGCGCGGTCCATTTCGCCTCTCTTTCCCTCCCTCTCTCCCTCTCTCGCTTTCATCCCATTGTCTTCTTCATTACGTAGATATCCCGCGCGAATATAAACGCAATTAAGCGCGTCGCGTCATCGTTAAAGCCCCGTAATTGCATTCGCGTAAAAGCAATTACGACTTCACCGACGGCGATGAGTCGGCCGCTCTGGCGCACCATTAGCATAAATAGTTTATAAACCGACGTACGGCACTTTGTGCACGCGACATCGCTCGCTACGACCGACGTTTACTCCAACTACGCGTGAAGGTCGCGCCTATCGAATGTTATTGCGGATAACAGCCGAAGCTTCGCTCGCCGGACTTCGGTTTTGAGAGGGAAAGCAGCCATGTTTTCGTTCGAGTAGTTGAACTTCTCTCACTGCAAATTCAAGTGTATAATTTTATACGTGCAGTCACACTTTTTACGCATTTGCGATTTACACGTGTTATTGATGTTACATTTTACGCCAGTATCATAATGATCAGTAATCTGTAATCATAATAATAACACACGTGCAAATGCATAAAAAGTGACTACATGTTAAACATGTAATTACACACTTAATTTTGCAGTATTTGTGCGAGTCTAATTAAAAATCGCGACAGAAAATCGTAACTTTTTGCGATATTGTTTTAATATTGCTTGGCTTTATTACATCTCTTTGTTGAACACTGTTAATCGTGG